ACTGTCAGTTTAATAACGCAATGTATATTTGAAAAGTTTATCAGATCTACAGATGCACCCGCACTAAAAGAAAAATGCCGTGACCGAGAAAAATCGGTTCACCCTCCCATAAAAAGTTATCACTTTAAAATGCGAACACATTGATTTTAGGAAAGGAAGCAATCCGAATAGCTTCAGCTCAGGGAGCAAAAGCCCTTCAGAAGTTGAACGCTTTGAAAGTCTATGTGGAAAGTTTCGGTCATGCCGAATCAGCAGCCGAAGGTTCGGCTCTTGGCGTGTGGCTTTATCAGGAGAAGAAAACGAAAAAGTACCAGATTATGATTCCGCAGTTGGAACTGTATGACGACTGCGATTGGACCGGATGGCAAATTGGATTGCAAAAAGCGGCCGCCCAGAACTTGGCCAGGCAACTGATGGACACCCCAGCTAATCTAATGACACCCACATCGTTTGCACAAAACGCTGTTGAGGCAAGTTCTATAAAAAAATATTATAATCCATATACAAAACGTTATTAACTGCTCAACCTGAAGTGAGGAGATAATCGATACCTGATTAACTATTTTTTTAAAGAATTTTCCTTGGCTTTCTGGATACTTTTACAAAGTTTTCGTATAGGTCCTGTGTAAATCTGGTGTCAACGTCGAAGTAAAAGTTAGAGGATGGGCCGAAACTCAAAAAATGTACGCTTTCCTGGCGGTCGCTCAAGGCTCTTGCGAACCACCCATCTTCTTGGAACTCAGCTACTATGGAGCTTCTCGCGATGAAAGACCAGTGGTGAGTCGGAGGAAATACTCGGTTTTCTTCCGTATTGGCCTTGGTTTTTTTGGCATATTTTACTAAAGCAAGATTATAGGTGTTGGTTGGAAAAGGCATCACTTACAACAGCGGAGGACTTTGTCTGAAGCCGTGCAATAAACAGCGCTATATGCGTGGAGACATGGGTGGGGCTGCTTGTGTAGTTGCAGCTTGTCGAGCAGTTGCAGGACTTCAGCTGCCCATTAATATTCGAGCATTGGTAAGTAAGTGAGAAATTATCCAATGGGTATTTTCTACTACTCAATGACTCATTGTATCATACATTATATTTGATTATCTGAGTGTATTCAGCTTGATTCGAAATCGACCTGCTTTTCCGAACCCGAATAGGGCAAATTAGCCAGTAGTCGGATGGTCATCATAAGTCCGAACTTAATCATTTTATTAAACTTCCAGCATTGAGGTAACAAATCTAAAACCTTTTCAATTTAAATACGAAAGTTTTCTTTTAAAACCCAACTGCTAATTGCTATTGATTTTTAAATAAAAAAGTGGCGCTTTGCTAGTAGTTCGACAATGTTTGCCAGTGCCAGTAAGGTAATTTTTAGAAGTCGGACACTCTCCGATTGGTTACATCTGCACCGTCCTGTATTTCGAATTTCATAATGACTAATAAAATGTTAATACAAATTTTCACTTGATGCACTAATATAATAAATGTTTATTGTGTAGTGTTAAAACATAATATTTATTTTAGTAAATCGGTTTTAAAAACAGGAACTAAACTGTTACTATTATCTGTAAGTACTAACATTATTTTATTGTCCATAACAGAAAATGGGCTGTTTAAAAATATCAAGACAAAGATAGTCTTGGCACTAAGAAAAACAAATAAATGATGAGCACCGATAAATTAACACACAAGCTGTTCATTCAACTGTGTTAGAAAATATGTAATAGCTAACTGACTAACTTCTTTGGTAACAATTAGTTATGGTTGGTAACACTAAAATCAACACATAAGTAAATAAACACTGACAAATAATAAACAATAAATAAATAAACGGCGCTTTCAACTTCTCTTTTTGAGTCCCAGGTTTTTGCACATTTTGCTTACTTTCTTTTTAATCCGGTCCTGCACTTTTGTTTACCGCTTTTCGTCTTTTAAGTCACTTTCGCTTTTGGTTTTATGTCTGAAACTAATGCAAAAGATGAAAAAATCTGTAAAAACCCCTTCAGAAAATGCCGAAAAAATTGTTAGTGTCCGACTTTTAATGCATATGAAATATCATATGGTTAGTGGTCGGACAATTTTTATATGTTTTAATCCCTGTAGGTGTTTGGTTTTGTTTTGTTTGGTAAAGCTTTACGAGACCCGAAAACTGGAATTTTAACATCTGAAAAACGGGTCATTTTTCACATTTTTTATCAGTAACATTTTACCACATTGTCCAAACAACTAAAAAAAGAGGTCATCAACATTTTCCCAGAAACTCTTGTTTGAAAATATCGTATTTTTGGTCTAAAACGGAGAAAACTGGTTTTGAAAAACCTTAAAAATTCTTCAGAGCGATGAGGTGACGAGTTTTCCAAATAATTGATTATAAACTTTCGCTTCTTCTGCTTGGAGAAACATTTTTGGGAAAAAAACCCAGAAAAAATTATTAGGGTTTTGTCAAAAATTCGTAGCAAAAAGTTTCCGAAAAATTTTTACAAAGCGGTTACGGAGGCGAGTGTTGCAATAAAATGTCATTTATAATTTTTCACAAAAAACGCCTGAAGATGGTCAGCATTTTTAAGTAAAACTTTAGAAAATAATGCGCTTTTTGAGTCGAAAGAACTGCGTAACAAGAACTTTGTTGAAACTGGAAGGACCTGAAATTTTAATGAAACTTTAAAAATCTTCAGAACGATGAGGCTGGCGAATGTTACAATTTTTTTTTTAAACTTGCAATCTGGTCGTTTTTTAAAGATAATCTTAACTGCTTTCGGTAAAAAACTAATTAGTTACTTTTTGTGCCAAAGTCAAAGCTGAAAAGAGTTTTCTAAAATCCCTACGAAGCAAATTTTCTAACAAAATTAATTCTTTAATTTTTTCCTGAAAAAAACCCTTGATTGTCAGAAAAGCATCAGAAAATAACGGTTTTTTTATATAAATTAAATTAATAACTTTTAGTTTTGTGTTCGGTTTTTGAGAAAACTATAACGATTTTCGGAAAAAAACAGAACAAATGTATTTTCGTTTTTGTCCCGAATTCGAAGCTGAAAAAAGTTAATGAAAATTTCCRCAAAGCTATAAATTTATATGCTAATTTTTCACGTGACAGAYTCCAGATTGCCAGCATTTTTAAGYGAAACTCTACAAAAAAGAGCGTTTTTRAGTGGAAAGAATAKCAAAAAAAATTMTGTCAAATCTAAAAAAACACAGTTTTTTTTTAGCAAACACTGTAGTCTTTAGAGGCATGGGGGTGACGAGTTTGCCAAATAATTTATTATAAACTTTTGCTTATTCTGTTCTTTGTTGGATMAACCATATAAAATTGGATAAAATTATGTGTTTTTGGTACCAAAWTCCAAGCTGGAAAGTGATTTCTAAACTTTTTSCAAAACGRCRAAGGAGGCGAGTGTAAGTAAATTTATATWATAATTTTYTGCGGGAATTACCTTAAGTGAAATTTTGGRAAATTGAGCGTTTAGAAAAAAAAGTAACTTTTCTAAAAGTGAAAAATTCTGAAAATAATAAGGTCATCAACATTTCTCCTGCAACGGAACTGAGAGTTTTATCAAGCGGTCAAGAAGCTATAAGCTTCTAGCATTACTTGAATGCGCGAAGTAGTAATGTAATTAGTATTTGTATTTGTTTATTTTTTCTGTTGGCGTTATTTTATTGCATTATTGTAATTGAACTAAAATCAAGATACATAATAAATACAATATATTATTGTAACTGAAATTGGAAAATGTTTCAGATTCCTCTATGTGAGAACATGCCGGGCTGTGCTGCAATGAGACCTGGCGACATCGTGAAAGCAATGAATGGAAAAAGCATCAAAGTGGAGTCGACCGACACAGCAGGCAGGCTCTGTCTAGCTGATGCGCTGGTATATGCGCAGAACTTTTGGCCTAGGTAAATGCAACTTGGAAAAAAGTGCAGTTCCTAATCACAATGTGTTTTCCATTGCAGATTCATTGTAGATGTTGGGACAATGACCAACGATATGAAACATTCGTTGGGCGCTTCAGCTAGTGGGGTGTTTTCCAACTCCGAAGCTCTTTGGGAATACATGCTGGCAGCCTCAATGCATACAGGGGACCGAGTATGGAGATTTCCACTTTGGGAGCATTTCACAAAGCTGGTTGCTCAGCATCACAATGTCGACGTGAAGACTTATGGACGCGGCGGCAGACCCAGGTAGAACGAGCAAAAATATGATGTGAAATGATGCAAATCATCCTAATATTGTTTCAGATGCGGAGAAGCTTGTAAAGTAGCAGCTTTCTTGAACGAATTTGTCCCCTGCGGCGACTGGCTTCACATGGACACTTATGGTGTGATGCGAACCGATGGAAAAGATTATCCGTACTTGCGGGAAGGAATGTCCGGTCGTCCCACTAGGACATTGGTAGAATTTTTGTCCCAGCTAGTGTGTCACCGTGAATGAGATGATCAACGTTCATTCTTTGTCCAAAATGTAAGCGACCTGTAGAACTTGTGCGAACGTTATAGTGGTATGATTCCTGACAAAGATTGTTTTATTTTGTATTTTTGTACTAATATTTCTTTTTACCTATGAATATAAATGATGTTTCTATTACTCGGGTCTGATTACTGCCGATTTCGGCTAGATATGTTTGGGAGAGTTTTTAAAGGCATTCCTACACGGATAGCGTAGGGATCAGATAAAAAAAATGGAACTTTGGATCTTTTTTCCACAAAAGGTGTTCTTTAGCACAAAACTGTGAGAAGATTGAGAGAAAAGTAACTTATAAGCAAATATAGAAAGTTGTTTTGTATGCACAGATACTAATCTAGAAAAGCTACTGGCAATAAAAAATGCTCAAATACGCAAACAGATCAATTTCGCAGTCTATATTCTAGGAGGAAACGACTTTTTCAGGCGTAGAAATAGTTCACTGATAAATTATGGATGGATATAAGAAAAACTTTTACTATTACTTTTAGTAATAAACTACAATTCAGTGTCTGCTTCTAATAATTTTATTATTTTTCCTTTGCAACACTTCAACCGGTATTTTTTCTGCCTTTGTTACATCTGGTTCACAAAATACTCGTTAGCTTCACCCTATCTATATACTCTTCACTTCGATATTTAGCACCAATAAATTTGAATTCTTGAAGGACTTAATTAGGTAAACGTATCTACATTTAACTCTACTGTAATTCCTTTTGTTGAGTTCTGTGAACGTTAGAACTGTTTCATCGTAATTCTACTAAGTAGTGTAATAATTATTACGAAATTAAGACGTTTCTAAAAATACATTACTTGCATTTTTAAGCGAATTTACAGTTGGTGCCATTTGGCACATGCACATATCGAAAATGCGTTCCGCGATATGTTTTCTATATCAGTCTATGTATTTTAGTAATAATACACAAATTTTCTATATATTATCGATCAACTTCTACAGGGTGTTCCATTATATTATGAGATTTTTGGATTCTACTCCAAATTCAAAATGTATTTCATGTCCTATACCTATACCAAAGTGTTAAACAAATAAGTTTCCAAAGAAAGTTGAGAAAACCGCCTAAAATCAATTTTTTCAAATGGAAATCCCCCATTTTTCATGATTTTGTCTTATTCGGGATAAACACCCTGTATGTGGCTAAATTCTGTTATTTTGACATTTACTCTATGACACCTCAAATCGGGTTTTCTAACCGAAACCCATCTAAAACGTGAAGAATATCCTGAAGAATTCTGAATGGCCAATAAGGCTAATTTGGAGTAGAATCCAAAAATCTAATAATTTACAGGGTGTTCCATTTAAAATTGGCAAGTTGATATCTACTTCCGGTACAACCGGAAGTGTGTCCATCTTGAAAATATTTTAAATCGCGTGCCCCCAATGACTTCGACACACTGGCCAATTTTCAAAATTCTCCTAATTATAGTTTGCCAGATATCGATCGCGGCGGTTCTCGGTGGGACACCCTGTATAGAAACGAGACTTAATTAACAGGTTACAACAAGTAGAGAAACAATATTGAATCTCTCTATTTTATCACTTTTTTGTTGCTCATTTTTGACCATTCTTTATATGTATGTAGGTGTGAGCTTAGTTTGGCTCGGAAATATTATAAAGTATACAAGATAAAAGATGTAAGCGCAACTATTACATTAATTGCTAGGCAGACGATAAGTACATAATATTCAACAATTTTTTTAAACGTATTAGTGAATTTAAATTAAATTTGACGAGCAATGAACAAATTTATTATAAAAATTTCATATAAGTACATACATATACATAAATAAAATAATGCTCGTTCAGTTTATTTCCAGGTATAAGTTTTTGCGGCTTCTTTATTGACTATCTACTTCCATTTTATCCGTACTTTTTTAGTATTATTCAAATGTCTTAGTATGGAAATAAGTCCCAAACGTAGAATCAAGATTTTTTATGAGTTTTTCCGAAAACAACGTCGGTAAAGAATTAACATCATAGGAAAAAATGTTATAATAAATTAAAGTTGTAGTTAATTAATCAAATAAAAAGGTTTGTAATGGGGTTTTAAAAATGTTAATTATGGATGTCCTTTAATTATGGATGTTCAAATGGTTTGTTATTAAAATTATATTTAATCCAAACGGTTTTAGCTCTATGATAGATACTAAGTACTTTTTTAGCACTATTAAATAATTTGGATTTAAAATTTAGTAAATACAGCTTGGTAAACGATGTTTTATATATAGAAATATTGGAAGAAATTAGAACATCTGCAAAAAATGGTTGATTTTGTAGCAATTTATCAATGGCAAATTGAATTACGGGTTTTTTAGTTGGGCTTTAATAAAAAGTCTGACAGTTGCAGTCACGCATGGATTTGAATTGAATGAATACTTATACAAGACCGATATTTATACACCAAATTAGTCTGTTGAAATTGCAATTTTCTGCACAAATTTGATCTAAATTCAGTATTTTCAAATGATTAACATTTCAAAATTTGCGAATCAATAAACAATAAAATACTAAGGTTGTTTTTGCACTCTTTGATAAAAACAGATTTGGTTTTTTAGTTGTGTAAGTGCCGATTTTTGTTGATTTTTCTCTGTTTTTGACAAATTATTTTTCTTTAAAATTCCTGTTAGAACCTTGCTATTTTCGATTTACTTGCAGTTTTCGTCGACTTTTGTCAATTTAAAAGCTTTGAATTTTTCAATTTCTGTTACATTTCGCTGTTGTTGAGTTTTTTAGTGCATTATTAACTTCAGAGCTGTTTTGAGACTATTTCCTAAAAAAACAATTATTTCTTTGAATTCACTAATTTAGTGGAAATTTCCATTGATTTTTGGCCATTTATAAGATTTCAAGTTCATAAATGTGCGAATTAAATTAAAGAAGTGCTTTAAAGGTGTTTTTAGGCTATTTGATAAAGAAAGCTTGGCTTTTCTAGTTGTGCAAGTGTCGATTTTTAGGTAATTTTTCTCTGTTTTTGAAGTTTTTTCCCAATAAATCGCTAATAAATCACTAAATTACTGTTGCAGTCTTGCCAGTGATAATTTTCGTCAATCTTTGACAATTTTTTTGATGACGATTAGCATTTACTTTTGGAACTTCCGTTACAAGTTTTTCTTTCGAAAATCGACCAGGAAAATTAAGGATTTGAAATTAAACTTGAAGGTTGTTTTGCGAGCGTTTGACGAAAAAAAATCTGGGTGCTGGTAATTTTTCTCTATTTTTGCTAATTTTTTCTATAAGAACTAATAGACAAAATTGCTTTTTTAGTCGTCATTGCTGCATTGAAAAGCGTTGAATTTCTCAAGTTTTTCATAAAATGTGTCAATTAAATTAAAGATGAGCTTCAAAGCTGTTTTTAGACTATTTGATGCAGAAGACTTTGCTTTATCAGTTGTGCGTATCAATTTTCACGTGGATTTCCTCAATGCTCAACAATTTTTCTAGTTCAAAGTTTGATTAAATTAGAGTAAACACTAACTTACTGCCTCATTAACAACACGACTTGCAGCTGATCGCAAAACTCAAGAATTTATGAAAAGTTGGCAAAATTCGAGTGTCTTGTGAACTTTGGCCCATTTTGTCAATCAAATGTCATCAATGTGGAATAGATCGGTACATTCTGCTGGCCAATGGGAGAAACTGTGTTTTATGAGGAAACTTACTGTTACATTAACTGTTATATCCTGCAGCAGCATCTTGGCTTATAAATTCTGCAAAAAGTGTATGTTTTGATTAAAAGATGGTACTTTCTCAACAGTGTGAATGTAATAATTGCGCTTATATCCATCTATACTTATACATACAACCTAATGAACGTTATTGTTATAAAGAACTATAGACAGCAATGTTGGGCATGCATTTGAATATTTCCGCTACCGAAAAATGCAATCAGGGTCTTTGATATGTACAAACTTTCCAAGAATGTATATTGTCATATTTCCATCCAGTGAACTAAGAGCTACAATGTCTAATGTCTCTATTCGAAGTCAAAAGATCATTGTGGTTCAAACCTCTGAAACCTGATCTTGCAGCTGCGAATGGCCCTCCTTGACCACAACGCTAATGTTTCTAAATTCGTAGTCTTTCACCTGATAATGATCTTCCTCCTGATCCATGTAGTCGGGTGGATTTTGGCTTTTGTAGTCGTACAAGTTGCCCAAATAATTGAAACGGTTGATTGGTTCGGTGACGCTGATCTGAGGAAGATCTTGGCCAACCGTCAGCTACAGCTATGTTTCCGACTGTCCCAAGTTGGTGCTGGTGGATTCTTTGATTATGTGCATCGTCTTGGACTTCTCATTCAAAGAGTCGTATAGAGGATATTCACAGCAAATGATAAACTTTAAGAACTGGGGCACTTCCTCGTAGATCGCTGGCGGAATGGGGATTAGTGGTGAAGTGGAGGATTTGTAGTAACGATAATCAGTATCGCTAAAACAATTTTTTTTTTGAAATTCTGGCTATGTCATTGACCTTTCTTATACATACTCGCGATACTTTTCATCAGAGCATCGTTCTAGCAGGGGAATCCCTGATAGGAACAATATTATCAGACTGGTGAATATGGGGGACATGATTGCCACCCATTCGATTCCTTCAAGGACGTTTAAGGATATCACGAATATTCCCCACCAGAGCACTATTTCTCCAAAGTAGTTTGGATGTCTGGATAATCTCCACAAACCTAATGCGATTAACGTGTATTAGTTTTGCAAGTAAGTTTAAAAAAATACTGGATTTATGTGTGAACATCGGACAATTATTGCTCTTTTTCAGATTAAAGCTCAACGTTCCATGCAGGCGCTTCTCAATGGATGGATATTTGTTTAGATTAGAATATTCTTGAAAATTTGAATTTGAAAATCACTGCGGGTAACCGATCTAAGATCATTTCAAGATCCGCACTTGCAATTATTCCGGAAGTAGGCAAAGTAAGTTGGTAATTAAGGTGGAACACTTAACTTAAATAAAAAATGAAATTTGCGCGCTCTAAAATTAATGTTAAAATTTGGGTTTACAATTATTTTGAAATCGGGTTTTGTTGAAAAGCACACACAGTTTAATTTCTGTTAATATAGAGTGTGAAAACTACATTCAGGATTTAAAATGCTAAAATCGCCTATTTTGTTTTTAAATCCCTAGTAGTAATAATTTTCCCTGATTTGATCCCCAATGAGGGAATCTCCTTTTCCCTGATAAGTAATTTTGTCTAAAGTTACCTACGCCAACAATGATTAGATTCCCAGATATTTTTACCGTTTGAAAATTCCTTTTATATTTAAGTTATCGCAAGAACATGCGAAACGGTTGTAGTGCGATACCCGCGAAAGCCCAACCATGTGCTGTTAAGCAAATTAAAAGAAAAATATAAAAAATAAACAAATAAATCAAATATAAGCAGTGTTCTTCTAAAGCTCTGTATTAACATTTTTCACAATATAAAACACCAGTTAAGAGACCAGTGTTTCTCAAAAAGACCCCAAATTAAATAATTAATGCGCTGTTAATGAATCTTCCATTTAGGGATCCTTTCAACAACATATCAAGTTAAAGAAAGAGTCCGTTCATTGTTGCACAGTTTAAAAAAAATTGAATGAGTTTCATGGGGGCGCATACCAAAGCAAAGTTACGTATTCTGCCCAGCTGCCAAAGTTAAAATTCTGATGAAAATCGAGCGAAAAACTGACTAATCGAAAAATTATTGTCCAAATTATGGCATGCATTCATCGCTCTTGATGATGCGACCAAAGACGCATTTATAAATAAAATGGACTAACTGTAGGTCTGCCATTTAGCCAGCTTTTCCATAAAATATCCAGCGGCAAAAGATTAACATTTTGTACAAATCCATCCAAAGGGCTGATCTGCGAACTCATAAACTCTCACTCAAAATCAAGTTAGATATGCCAGTCCTGTTATCGATGTGAGCAAAGAATAGTTCACAAATCATGACCTGGACTAAATGCGGATCTGCCATTTAGTTTTAGTCATCTTTTAACTAATTTTCAAGCTATAGAAGTCCAAAGTTTTATAAAAATGTTGCAAGAGAGTTATAAGAGACCGCGCCAAAATCAAGTTAAGCATTTAGTCGCTTCAATGCTGCGGACAAAGATCAACAGTCTGGATCTGCAATTTAAATAGACTTTACCCAAAATATCAAGCTTCAAAAGGAAAAATTTTCGGGAAAATCGAGCAAAGGACTACTTGGGAAAATTTTGTCAAAATCAAGCTACGTACTCCGCAGCTCATAATGATGCGAGCAAAGAAGCGTTTATGAACGTGACTCTGCCATTGAGCGTTTACACAGAATATCAAGCTGAACAGCTCAAATTTTAATAAAAATCGATTAAATCGACTGGTACAAACAAAGTGTATTCCGCCCCACGATTGGACTTGTTTATATTTGGCTGGAAAAGCTGTTTTGTTTGCGGCTATCATCAAAACCAGTTTAAATCAGACACCTACCTTTGAAAATGTAGCCATATACACTGGAACTTTCAACAACATTGTAAACAACGAAAAAAACTGGAATCGAACTGCGAAGCAAAGGAATTAGTCATCCAAAGGGCGAACAAGCAAATTATTATATCATCAGGTTGGTTCCGTTGTTCGGTGTGTGAAACCGGTGAAAACTTTCATATCGCATGCATTTTTTTCCAAAAGCAGAGCAAGTGTTCAGTTTCTTACAGGCAACGAACGAAATAAGTCGTAGATTTTTGATGTCTTTCCGGGATTTAGAGACTGATTTGGTGCCACTAAAGTGGATGCTGTAGACCATCATCCTGTCCGTTAACTGAAGGCTTTAGTGGAAGTTTTCAAATTCTTGTGAATCTTCAGGGTGTGTTCAAGTGTAGTGCAACCTTTTTGAGGATTTGATGATTAATGGGAAGACAAGTGAATGGAGCGCCAGCTTGTAGAAACCTGGTAAGAATGATCTCGATATATCAATCTCTTAGCTGCAACTGATTCTACTTTTCCGAAAAGCAACTGAAGTTTTATGCATTCTTTATATTTATCGCTCTTCTTTCTTCGCGCTGATTTCAAATTAATTGCCTTTGGACAGACTTCCTGCTGTATTAAACACATTTTCTTCTTTCTTTCCAGGTGGCCCGATGCAGCTTTCGGTAAGTTTGGCATTACTTTGCCCCTGGTTGCCATGTAGATGTAGAACTTTTAGTCCCATATTATTCACTTGTATTATTTTATTATATTGATATATGCCATATTTATTCGACGAGTAACGACGAAGGAGAGTCTAGATTCTGAAAATGGGTTTTTCAATTTCTTTTTATTACATTTTAGTAAAATTTTTAAACGCTAAATGTAAAACAAAAGTCGTTCTCCTGTGAACTACACGTTTTATGCCTTGTAAGGTTTTTAGCATCAATTATTGCTGTTTTCCTGTTATTATTGCACTCTAAACTATACGGTTCTTGTATTCTCAATAAGGATTGCTCAGACATAAAAAGTTCACTTTTTTTGCTGTTTGGTGCCAGCACATCTTTAGATATTTTCGAAGCAAAAATATCAAGTATTAGTGTTTTGCTGCTGCAAGTTCAAATGTTTGCTGTTTGGAAAATTAATAACACCCCAGAATCCAGACTAAAGAGCCTAAAGGGTATGTGAATATTGTATATTACTATGTGATGGTCTGGATGGTCCTGGCCTACCAGATTAGATTTCGGGCTCTTTTTTAAAGTTTAAGACACGCAAATGCTTGTTATCAAAAAATTCGTGCTAGGAAATTTCAAGGGCCAGGATCCATCCGACTATTCCAGATTTTTTGCTGCCCAGCGCCCTTCAGGCTGTAAGTGGTCCAGATCAAGATTATAACCAGATTTGCGGCTGTTTTTCTAAATTTAATTTCATGTCATTCAATGGCGACGAGTTTTTTGTGAAAAAAATTGTGGTTGTAGCGAATTTCAACGGTCTGGAGCCGGATACTATTTTATTTTGTAGAAGTAGATGGCAACCAGGGATGTAGTTTTTCTTTTTTTTTTCATTTATGCTGCTCGCATGTGCAGGTTTGTGGATTTTTTGGAGCAAATTTCTATTTCGCTTTTTGCTCATTTTTGAAAATGGTAGCGCATTTATTTTAGTATGCTTAGCCAATTGCCTATTTTAATATTTTCACACTTTTTATTGTCGTGTAAAAAGTTTGTTTATCGTTGAAGGTTTTTTTGCGCTTACACACTTACACTGTGGATTTTTTCAGGCGAATTTCCTTGTCGCTTTTTGCGGATTTTCTCTATAGGGTTTTGGAAAACGGCAGCGCATTATATTATCGGTTTCTTAGGTAAATCGCTGAAATATTTTAGAAGTTTTTTGCAACTTTCCATCCTAATTTGATTCTATATTGTAAGTCTCAAAGTCTCAAAATTGAAGTGTTTGTTTGCAGCTTTGACCTATTCATATCGTATTATATCCATTACTTGGTGGATATTTTTTTCAGGTACAACAAGTCCCTTTGCAAAATGTCTCCATTTACTAATTCGTTTTCTTACAGCTTTGAATTTGGAAAAATTCGCGTGTTCTTTGTGTCGTGTGAATCGCGTCCTTAAATCGGAAATATAGAGTCATTGTGGCCTTTACGGCAAGTGCGGTAGTTCATCCTGCCTAATTATGCAGTTGATTAAAGTTTTCAAGTCGGAGTAGGTTTAAATTTTGCGTTCCAGTTATGTATAGACTTTTAGACGATTAATGGGCAGAAAATGGAGGATAGGGCGCCAGCCTGCAGAAAGCTGGTAAGTATGATTTCTAATCTTTTTTTCCGAAAAGCAACTGAAGTTTTATGCATTCTTTACATTTCTCTCTCTCTCTGCTTTGTTGATTTTAAATAACTTGGCTTTAGGCAGATTTCCTGCTGTATTAAACAAATTTTCTTCTTTCTTTCCAGATGGCACGATGCAGATTTCGGTAAGTTTGGCATTATTTTGTCCCTGGCGGAAATTAAGTAGTGGACCTTTGAGTCCCATACTGTTGACTTGTATTTTACGATATTGTTGCATTTAAAATTTATTCGAAAAGGAACGAACGACAAGAGAGTTTATGGCTTTTGGATCGGGTTATTACAAATTTTAAATTCGATTTTTGCGAAATTATTTTAACGCAAGATTTTATACATTGACTACGGATTTTTTGTGGTAAACTGTGTGTCTTTATTTGAAGTTCTACAGCATAAATGTAAAATCAGTGTGGTTCTGTAAACTACACGTTTTATCGTCGTGTGAGATATTTTGTATCAATAATTAGTGTCTTTCTCTAGTGAATTCCAATCTAAATTAAACGGTTCTTGAATTCCCAGAAAGAATTGCTCAGATTTACGAATTTTTACTTTTTTCCCTCAGCTTTTCAACCCTAAATAGTAATTTAATTATTAAATACATAAAATAAGGTCTAACTGTTTTTAAAAGGCAACAATAAACGATAGGTAGATTTTTTACAGCTTAGTCGATATCGGTTTCAAAACAGATGTTCGGACCCAAATGCGCTCTCTCCTTTAAAAACACTCGTCTTTCCAATTGAAACTAACCGAAAGTAAAGTTTTATAAAAATCGCCCATCAAACTGGTTTTATTCAGCTTCGTAAATACCTCAAAATTGATATGAATGGATGGAATGGAAACATTTCATGGTTCCTTTCCCGTTTTTGCTCATTTCTCGGAAGCAAAATGAGCAAGAAGAGCTGATATTTACATCATTCCAGGGAGAACTAAATGCTTTTTAGAAATTGTACCATCGATAACGAAATGTTGGCAGTTTTCTCAAAAAAGTCTTGATTGATTTCAAGAAGTCTTAGATTTGCGTGCTTTTTTTTTGAATTGCAAAATCGACTCAAACATGACCCTGCTTTCTTCAAAGTTTCTCAAGCCCCAATTTGAGCCACAGAATTCGATTTGGCATCATTGGATAGAGAATTGAAAACTGGATTCAGTCATAGCAACATAAGTGATAAATTCAAGTAGTTTTGACCCAGAAAGCGAAGTTTGGATATCAGACAATTAGGTGCAAGATCAAGCCAAAATTTCATGTTCTCCGTCCGGTTTTTGCTCATTTCTCGGAAGCATAATGAGCAAGAACGTTCATTTTTAGATCATTCCAGAGAGAACTAAATGGCCTTTGTTATGACCCCCCTGGACCCGCCCTTCAATTTCATAAATATCCCCAAAATCCTGATTATTGTCAGCTCAATAAATATCGGTTTTAAAATAAATGTTGCAATCCAACTACAGCCTATTCTATAAAAATTCGCACCTTTCAAGCAGAAGTATGTGTCAATTTAAAAGTTTTACCATCCTTAGCAGGAACTTGGGTCTAAAACGTGTGGAAAGTTGCAATAAAATCGTCTTTAATACTGATTTTTCCCAGATTAGTTAATAACGGTCGGAATCGAATGCATGGAACTTCAGCTTAAGCCATCTAAACGGATCAGCATAATAACAAATTCCAGTTTAAATGAATTACTTCGTAACTTCGCGGTTTATGCTTAACTAATTTGTGATTGATTCAATCTTAAATTATTATTATAAATATTATATTAAATTAAACCATTTTAATATAGATCGTCAGCAATTTGTAACGTTTGATGAATTTTACACGATGAGTCAGAAGTTCTTACCATCATTGCACCATTTGCCTTGATTCACGGGATCTTGCCGAAACGAAAACTTCTGCAAATCCGCATAAGTTTCCGCTAAAAATCCGATTATAAATAGGCAGGTTCCAGTTGAATCCAAAGTGGTCATGGTTTTGGGAGCTAAAGGGATTGAATGTCTTGGAGAGTTGATTATTATCACTGGAAGACTAACGACGTAAACCCAAATTGCCTAATAACATAAAACTGTTTCAGAATATGACTCTACCATTGGTACAAGTTGACGCTAAATAATGTAAATAGTTCAAAACGAACTTTTAACTTGTTAAGTAATTGCCCTCACCTGAAACGTCCAAAATATCGCAAACCGAATAGTGTTACTCTTCGTGTCTTCGAACTGTTTATCTCTTCCAATCTTGATAATCCTGTAGAATAAATATCCTGATAATCGAAGACCCCAAATACACACAAAAGTTGTAACCATCAGTTGCCTGCTGTCGTAGGTTTTCTGAACAAAGTAAGTCGTATTAAAGTGAAGAGTTTGCTTGTGTGTGAAGAAACGTACCTTGTTTCCTCCTTGGCCCAGAAAAAAAGTTAGTAGGGCTAAAACTATAAAGTTTATTCCGCCAGCAAAGTCGGTCACTTTATCCATGTCGAATAATGCCACAATTAGGAAGAACACTACTTGCATTGTTACGGTGACTATTGCGCTAATAGCGAAATGGTCTTGGTCGAAAATTTCCACTGCCATTATTCACTGAAACGTTTCACACTAACCTAGCTGAAAAATTACATTCCAGTAATAAGAAAACTCAATTAAATGCATTTAAAAAATCAACAAGAAACTGATAAAGCAATAAAAACAAGTCTTTCTGAAGGCTTTCTAAGCCGACATGTTTCATACATATGCTCAATTCGTATAGATATTAAGCAATAAGTTTTAATTCAATTTCATTTACTAAAATGTGTCAGGAACTTAAAAAATAGCGGGTTTTTCCATTTTGTATGGGTAATTGTGGGTTTTCTAGATGATTCACATTTCAGCAATTTTGCCCGAATAACGGCAAGAAAATGTATTTTTTTGTGTCTTCGGCTACCAGGCTGGCAATTTTTCTCACTGAAAATTTAAACAAATTACGGTGCGCAATTGGGGTTTGTAAGACATTTAGAAGTTGTGTTCAATGCTTGAACGCTTGAGAGTATTTATATTTGGAAGCTTTATATTTTCAATAAACCTTTGGACAACTTTTTCTTACCATAGCTGGAACACTAAACCTTTTCTGTATTCTATTAATTTGTTATTTAGTGGTGCAAGAATAATTAGCTGAATTTTTCTTTGACATTTTCTTTTTCGATTATTATCATGCAGTGTTTAAAAAAACTAATTTTGGAGCATTTTTTCTGAACGGCTTCAACTGTTAATCAAGAAAATACTTCACCGCAAAACTTCTTATCTTTGAACACTTGCAACTTAATAACAGTCAGGGTTTGAACGTTTGTTTAAACGAACATTTTTCCTTGGAATGACTGAAAAACAAGCTCTTAAATTCATATTACTTTTTTTTAAGTTAAGTTGACGTTCTTACGCAGAAAAACGCATTTTTTGCCCTCACAATAGTAAACATACAGCATAATCTAGTACCATTTAGTAGTCATTTAAAGAAAAATCTTAAAACGTTTCCGGTGAAAAATACAAGCTTCCGAACTGTAATTTCATGTTGTTCAATTAAACAGAGAATACAAATACTCTAAATTTGTGAAAACCTACGAAAAAATATAATAAGGAAAACAAAGTCAAAATTGAACATACATATAAAATACGTTTAAAATCGTTTTCCGCATGTGTTAGCTTAATTGAACTTAATTAATTTAAATACTGCACAAAACCTTTGTATATGAACATCTTGTTTTTTGTTTAAAGGTTTTTAGCGGTTAATTTACCAAATTATGAAAAAATGTATACTGGATAAAATTCTGTAATTATTTATCCAATAAATAACTTGTTTTTGCATGTCAATCAGGTACTTTTAACATTTTATTTCCAACCCTATTCAGTTTTAGGCCTTTGGCACAGTGTTAAATGATGCAAAAAGAAGCAAAAAATTAACTTTAGGTAGGAAGATAAAAAGTGTTCTTATTTCTTTTCTTCTGCATCTGCCACAATTTTTGTCTTTTTAGGATTTGGTCCTTTTCAGTTTATCGGCAAAAATTGCCATTTTCTACCACCAGCAGATAATTGAAAAAATCCAAAGGAACCATTTGAGCGAATATGTTTCAACGTAGAATAAAGTTCAAAAAACAGTTAATGAATTAACTGGTTTTTCAACTGTAAATTAATTACACGAAATAGAAAAAGCACAAAATGAAGAACAAATAAAACTTTAAACGTTTGAAAATTGCAACCAAATTTTGAAAAAAACGCTATTTATTTCACAAACGCGCAAAACTTTAACTCATTTACTTTAGCGGAAAAACTGGATCTGAAGAACCCCCAACCTCTCTTTATTTGCCATGACCTTTATCATTCAAGCAATGCTCAATCGATAGAACTTGGTCTCAAAAATGGAGCAACAGAGAGAAGTCCAAGGTCAGAAGCAGCATCCTGAAGGATCAATACATTTTAAAACGTTCTGCTCTTAAAGCTCTGCTTGCGAAAAACAACAGGTTTGAAAAAATATCTTTAAGCATGCAGATTATTGAGGAAATGCAATAAAAACACCTATAAAAGTGCTGTGAGCTTGAGTGGGCTAAACCTTAAATAAAATGTTTAATTTCAATACATACCGTACGTACAAGCTCTAAAAATAAATTACAAAGTAAATAATCAGGCAATATTAGGTCACTTTCATGCGCCTATTAAACACATTGACGCTAAATGGAAAGCAATTACCTATAAGTGTCTACCTTAGATTATTGCACGTTGGTCTAAAACTACTCAATTGGAAAGGAGGAAATCACTTGCAAAACACTTACAGAGAATCGTATATAATATTTTAGTCCGCAAAAGCGTCCCGACGCATTGCGTCCATTGCCTTCCACTGTGGAGACATCTAGACTACTGGCTAAAGTCTCAGCTGGAAAATTCGGACGAGATATCTCGGGAAATGGAAAGAGATGGAGAGAAAATGTGGAAATATTTCCACGCAATGTTTGTGCTCCCACACAATCAGCTCGTTCAACATCGGAAAAGTGTTGCAACAATATTTGATCAATGATTCAAAGTATCCAGCTAAAAAAATTGTTGGGATTGGAAAACGAGTTCAGAAAATAATGAAATACGCGAAACCCTTTAACCAGTATATTCAGGAAAACTTCTACAAATATGCGACGAGTTTTTTTGTGTAGACTTTTACACAGTTAATAAGGTTTTTGCGGTATATTTTTAATTAAATGTTGCTGATATAAATAGCTTCTAATGTTTCGCATTTAAAGGCAAAGAAAAACATTCGAAGGCTGGCCATTTCCTATAATAAACCATATTAGCAAATAACCAATAGTTAGCAGATAGAGAAGCTGATAAGAGCCAGACTATTTTTTTCAGTTATACAAAATGTATCGGAAAGACGTGCCAAACTAAAATTAAAAATTTTAAGCAAAAGAACATCAACGTTTTTATTATAATCAGGAACCTGTAAAATATTCATTCAAATTTTTCTTCGGTTAATTCCTTTAGCTGCATAATTCAGATTGTCTATAAGAGATTACCGGGTGAGTCACAAGACTCAATGATAATTTATTTATCCAATACTTTAAAATACTTCCCTATGTGATGAGCAGAGGCCACAAACTGTTGTTTACAAAATTAATTTAGGATTTTACGTGCTCAAATCTACTGATTACAAAGCGAATTAAAAATGATTTTAAAAAAATCGTGCATTTTTGCAAATCGTTTTATTTATAGAACATACTCCATAAACCGAACCCAAAAGTAAACTATGATTAATATAAGTAAATTTATAAAATATTCAAAAGCTTGTTTTTTCGTAATAAATTCTGTAAAATGTTGCAACATTTTTTCGTAGTACATTTTCTAACTGTACAACTAGTAAACTCTTGAAAATTTCCTGATGCTGACTGAAAATCGAAACTTTTTGAACACATAAAACGCACTTTACTCCAGAAAACATGCAAAAAAGTAAAAATCTGGTTTCTGCGAAAATAAATGCCAAACTTGTGCCTGTCTAGACAACCGCAAATTATAAAAAAATATCGAAAATAGCCTGATCGTGTATCAAAATTGAAACTTTTTCAACTGATAAAATCGACTGGTTTTTGAATAAATAACTGTTAAACTCCGGCCTGCATAAACAAGCGAGAAAATTCTATCAAAATTTGAAAATCGAAATGTTTTTCACTTATTGAATGCAGTTTATTCTACAATTTTTGAAAATTTTTGAAAAATGTTAAGAACGAACTCTAAGAATTGGATACAAAAGTAATTCTCCAGCTTTGGAAGTTCCTGACTATACCACAAAACCTCACACAAATATCACCCTTTAACTTAACTGGTTTCTGAACAAATAACTCTGAAACTCCGGCCTGCATAAACAATTACGCAAACCAAAAACAAAATCAGGCAAAAATCTGGAAAAATAGTTCCCGAAAATTCCCTGAAGATGATGGGAAATCGAAACGTGCACTTTGCCCTACAATTATCGAACTACGACTTGTGTAAATATCCGCCAAAATCACACAAACTTTGAAAATTGTTGAAAATTGGGCGACGGTGAGTGAAAATTGAAACTTTTTGAACTTATTCAGCAGACTGTGATCTACGAATTGGGTACAAAAGTAATTCTCCAGCTTTGGAAGTTCCTCGAAAATAAATGTCAAACTACGATCTATTTAAATATTCGCATAAATTCCTTGCAACTTTAAAAATTCTTCAAAATTGTCTGCGCACTTTTGTAAAGCTCATAAACCAGTGCAAAATACAAGCAAAATTTAAAAATATTTCCAAAAACTCTACTACGACTTGCCCTTAATATTCACGAATGGTTCATTAAACACTGAAAATTTGTCGCAAATTACCTGATAAGCAGCGAAAATTGAAACGCTTTCCACATATAGAACCCACTTTGCCCTAGACAAAGCGTGCAAAAGTGAATCTCCATCTTTATTGATTTCATAAAAAAATAAAAGCCAAACTGAGGCCTGCATAACCAACCACGAAATTAAGTCGCAAATTTAAAAAATCTTCAAAATAGCCTGATGATGTTTCAAACGTGACACTTTTGCCACATATAAAACCGACTAAACCCCACAAAACCTCACACAAACATCACCCTTGAAGAACTTAACTGGTTTCTGAACAAACAACTGTGAAACTCCGACCTGCATAAACAATTACGCAAACCAAAAACAAAATTAGGCAAAAATCTGGAAAATAGGTCCCGAAAATTCCCTGAATGTGATTTAAAGTCCAAACATTTTGTTCTAATAGAGCAGACTTACTCCTACAAATGTGATAAAAAAAAGTGATTTTCTGTAGCTCTGCAAGTTCCTGATCACATAAATGTGAAAATACGACCCCTTAAAGTCCACAAAAATCATGCAACCTTTTGAATCGAAACATCGAAGCGTTTGACTTGTAGAACATACTTTGGCTAACAAAATACTTACGTACAAAAGGGACTCTCTCACTTCGTTAGGTCCTGAATAAATAAAGAAATGACAAACTCTGACCCCCAAAAACAGCCTCTTACTCCAGCTGCAAGTAAATTATCAAAAATTGGTTGACCATGACTGATAATCAAAACTTTCCTGACTTATATAGGGGGCATTGCCCTACAAAATGCATGCAAATTGATTCTTCCGGCGTTGCAAGTTACAAAAGAAATGAATGGCACACAAAAACCAAACGCGATTTTTAAAAATTYTTGAAAATTGCCTGATGRTGAACAGAGGGTGCYTTAGAAAATTACTACAATAGATAATTATAAATAAGACAAATAATAGCATTAATTTTAGATTATGATATCAATAATAACTGTGCGAGAATCCATTCAAATGAGTAAAGAGTATAGTGCATGTTCCTGATCAATGCCAACTGTAGACTCATTCAGAGTGTGTTTGTTTATAAAAGAAGATCAATTTTAGGATTTAAAACTAGAGAAACGAGTCGAGMTAAATTTAGGTAAATTGACGTTCTCAYTGCTTCTGCAATTTACATACAAGAATTTGTACTACTTTTAAAAACAGACTGAAATTACAAGRTTTTGGGGGACAGTAGGATTAAACTTTTCAATAGTCTTYATAATAAACRCTTTAAATTTATTGATGCTAATTAATATTTTAGTATTCTTTTTAAATTGGCTCGGAACGCCTCGGTTTTCAGTAAATTTTAACGCAAATTTCAGATCGACAACGTTTTTAGGTTCTTTCGTACAACTGAAAAATCTGGATCGAGTAACAACAAACGATTTTTGAAACTTTTTGGTAAGTAACTAAAAGTAATTGAGTCAACAATAAATATAGCAAAATTAAGGCAAAGGCACCAAAGCAAAATAATKTATYAAATGTAAAAATGCTTTRGGTTTCCTACCAAAATGTATCTCACAACATTTTTACCAATTATTTAAAAGTAGGAATTTGCGCTTTAATAAATTGAACACACAAGTTTTTTCACTTTTAAGCCGATTGATAAAATTTCATTTTGAAACATGATGATCATTTAAATATTTCTTCTCCTTCCAAGAAGCAAATTTATTTCGCACCCTCATTCTGCAACATAAAAAAATACATTATTTTCTTTTTTTATGCTAACATTGATACAATTTATTTACCTGGTTAATCTGTGGGTTGAATGTAACGCTCAACGATAAAACTGTGGCCGCTTATTGCATGACGGTATAAAATATATGGTGTTGTAAATTATTCCGTAAGTAAACTTTCAAAAGTCGTTTGTTTGTTCAGGAACTTTCAGCAGTTCATTTGCCTGAACGTTATTCGCATCGCAATCCTGGCATCTAAAATAAGCATCCAATGTAGATTAACACTTTTTATGCGCTTGCAAATTTATTAAAAAAAAAAATAAAACATGGAAGAAGCAATAAAACAACTAACCTTTAAAGGGGTGAAAAAAGTTACTCATAGTGTTTAATGCCTATCCCACCCCAACTACCCTTGAACGACCCCATAAAAGCTGAAAAGGCACGCACAATACCTGGGGGTTGCAATATTTAAGCCAGAATCAGCGAGGAAAACTTAACTGGAGTGGCTCGGGAGTTTACAAATGCTGGGCGCGTATACATAATTTATAATGAAAACGCACAACAGTAATTTAGAATTATTTTGAACGAAGAACTCGTATAAAAATGCATTTATATAACCGACAAATTTTCTATATAATATTTTCATTGGTGACAATATAATCAATTTCATTTAATAAATGATTTATATTTACTTTTGCCATTTTAATGAGAAAACTTTCTTATAAAATACTAAAAAAATACCTTGAGTGAAAGCTTTTTGGTGGAAATAGTTGAGCATTATTATGCAATTCGCTGATTATTGCATAGGCTTCAGTATTAGCTCATTATTAAAGCTTATTGCTCATTTTGCTTCCGAGAAATGAGCAAAAACGGCACGGAAAACATGAAATTTTGGCCTAATTTTGCACCTAAATGTCTGGATTCAAATTTCACTTTCTGGGTGAAAACTACTCGAATTTCCTCACTCATGTTGTTATGACAGTCCAATTTTCAATTTTCTATGCAACGATGCCAAAAATATTTTTTTGGCTCAAATGGGGCTTGAGAAACTTCGAAAAAAGCAGCGCCATGTTTGAGTCGATTTTGCAACTAAAAAAAAAAACACTCAAATCTAAAACTTCTTGAAATCAAGACTTTTTAGGAAAACTGCCAAAATTTCCCTATCGATAGTTCACTTTATAAAAAGGCCATTTAGTTCTCTTTAGAATGATGTAAAAATGAGCGTTTTTGCTCATTTTGTTTCCGAGAAATGAGCAAAAACGGGACGGAAAACATAAAATTTTGGTCTTTGGATTTGAATGATACTCTACTACATGACTTGAAAGCTGGATTTGGCCCTGTTAATGAAAAAAAAATTTTATGACCACTCGACCAAAATGCATAAATTTTTTAAAAACCCATTAAAAGGACTGGTAATATAAATGGGGATTTAATGAAAAGCGGGCGGTTTTCTAAAGGATTCGTCTAAATCTGCCTAAACACGTTTCTTCAACGATCCAAAATCTTTGGTACTTAGTTGTAGTACATAAGTTTCAAAATTGAATTTTGTCCTTAGCAGCAGTACGTGGAACTTGTTTGTACTTAATTGATATTTTTCGCACATTTTTTTATGTTTAATGCAGCTGACAATTCCCACAGTCGGGGATTTTTAAAAGAACAGTTAATGAATTGTATTGTGTTGAGGGTTTTGCGATCTTTCACGAGTTTGAATTTTGTAAAACACTGTAAGTCCTAACTAAGTAACTTCCACCTTCTAAATAGATCGAAGCACAAAATATCAAAAATTTGAGAATCCCAACAATTTGAAACCCTTATATCTCCGAAACGGTTTAAAATATCCAATTAGATCCTATAACATTTTCGATAGTCCGTTTCGAGAAGCGTATTTGGTTAATTGGACTGCATCCCAAATTCTTAGCCTTTAAGGAGATAAAAAAATAAAAAATGTAATATATAAACAACATATCAGATGAGTGATTTTGTTGAGGACTTTTAAAAGGATTTTGCCTATAGAGGTAGAAACAAACTTTTCAACCTCAAATTATTTCAAAGTAAACTTCATTCATATCTTGAAAACAGCTAAAATATCACGCGAATCTCCCGAATAGAGCAAAAATGACGCTGAAGAACAAGTCATCTTTTGTTCAGTTTAATCTAGCCGCTCCAACCAAGCTCTACTCGAGAGCTGGAAATCGATAATCCAGCATCAGTTTTCTCAGTACCAAATTTTCATTTACTCAGTAGCTCGGTGTGAGTCGTTCAGGGTGGTTAGTTAAGATAGAAAAGTTTTGTTCTATGGTGGTTGTGAACTTCCGTATTTTGGCGCTTTGTTGTAATTTTCCCGATTTTTCTCGGATGTACACAAAACCCCCTACTCACTCCAGTAAGTTTAAAATTAGCCGCCTGGATATTTACATTTTCGTTAAAACACTTTACGATGTATGATAAATTAATGTCTACATTTAAATAATGCACAAAAAAGGATCTAGCTATCCTGAAGGCCTAAGTAACAAGCTCCAGTAACTCGCATAAAGACTAAAAATATAATCAGATTTTTGTATGTGACATTATTTCCAGACCTTCATTGTTAATGCTAATTAATAATTGTGATTGTGTACAGATTTCATCTCACATTCAATGCTCAGTTTAGATTTATGTGTGGACAAAAACTACGGGCTCTTAAAGTAGCCTTGGATTTAACCAAATAAGCCAGCACATAAATATTTATAAAATAATTCGTGCATTATATGTGATATTCCATAATAAAAAAAACGAAAAATCGGTGTTTGTGCTCTATTTAAAACAATTTTGAAAAATAGTCAGCAGGTTGTGTTGGTATCAATGACTACAGTAAACGGTGCAGACATATTTACTTTGAAACATCTTAAATCCGAGCCCAGTTTTTCACGATTTTCCCTGTTTTTATAACGTGTTAAACACCTAATCTTTTAAGATTTGCTGAGATTTTCGCAACGCTTTTTGCATGTGGCGCTTGATGCAATTATAAAACAAACACGTTAGGTCAAACACAGTCTTGTTATATTTTAAATAATTATTGGAAAGTAATTCATGCATGGATTGCATGTGTAAAGTACATTTGGTTCAACTGCTCTTTGAGCCTCAAATTAATTAAAGATATGTAATTATTTTAGCGAAATTACATTTTCGATTACATTCTTTTTAAAATTATCTAAGTTTTACTTGATAACATTTCGCGCTCGAATTTGTGGACGGTTATTCGAAAACTTGCTTTGCTTGTTTTGATATATTTAAATGGTTTTATAATGCTTGTTATTATTTTATTTTTTAAATAATACTGTAGCTGGTTAATAGTTTTATTCAATTATTGTTATTCATTTGCAGCACGCAGGGTATCTAAAATCTCAAAACTCAAATAAAATATTGCATTTTATTAATTCTAATTTATATGGAATATTCGCCTCTAACATTGTATTAATTAGATTTTTTCGGTATCAGTAGCGGCAATATAATCTTAAAATAAATAAAGTCGACTTTAAAGTGTACCTAGTTGTTTTAAACATTTCTGAAAAATACTCACAGCGATGGATTTTTAAATCGCTTCAGAATACAAACTAGTGCAAAACAATTTGAAAATTCCAGCACATAAGTAAAGGGTTTTTTTAGAGTTATAGAATTTTAAATTGAAATAGAACTGTCTCTCATAAACTTTATGTTAAGGTCCTGGTACTGGGTAAGGCAAAACAAATATGCCCAAATTACGATTTTAAATGAGCAATCCACGAAAGAACTCCAATTTTCGATCACTTTAATTCCACTAGACCATAAAAAAGCACATCAAACAGTGAGTTTTCCTGGATATAACGGCGTTTCAATAATGACTTTCAGATTTTGGAATTTCGTCGCTCCAAATTCGGCAATTTATTTCGAAAATCGCTGTTCAGTCCGCCAAACTCACCGTGCTTTCCGTCCGTGCACATAATCGTTTTTGGCCAATAGTTGCGTAAATAAACAAAATTGCCGGATTTGGCGCCACGAAGATCCAGAAGCCATTATTGAGACCTCGTTATACCCAGAAAAAATCGGAAAAACTCACTGTTTTTTGTGCTTTATGGTCTGGAAGAAGTTAAGAAGTGGTCGAAAATTGGACCAGATTGCTCTTTATTCGAGCCAGCTGCGGCTCATTATACCCTATCATCATATCATAGTTAATCATAGTTAAACTATAACGGCATAAAGTTGTCTTTTCAATAAAACCCGTCCGATGCAGTTAACATGATTTTAGTTATTTTATCTCAGTTTAAAGTTCTATACCTCAGAAAAAACACTCTTTACAAAATAGTGAGTAACATGATGATATCTGGAAAAGTGTGCATACAAAAACAATACTGAGAAACTTTCCACCAGAAACGCAATAATTAGTACTGTTAGAAAAAATAAACATAATAATATAATGCTGTTGAAAGTAATAAAAAAATCATAATAAACCTGAAATTTTAATGCCGTCGAAAATATTTTTCCAATCCAACATGTTCCGTCGTAGCAGATAAACATCTACTGTTTTCCTGAGCTCTAAATTATTCATATTACAGCTTAATGTCCTAAATAAATGAAATGCTACACCGTTGCTAGTTATGCATTATTGGTAGCTCTTTAATAAATGTTCTTTTATTATATATGGGTATAGACTAGGTCTGGGCAACACTGTGTTGAGTTGCGCTTTTGAGTTGTTGCCGCTCTCTGAGTTAATGAGTTATAACTCATCGGTTACTGAGTTCTAAGTCATTTATTAAAGCGGATTAAAGCTTTACGAAACCCGAAACTGGAATTTTAACATCTAAAAAACGGGTCATCAACATTTTTTATGAGTAACGTTTTACCACATTGTTCAAACGACTAAAAAAAAGAACAGGTATTTTTGGTTTTTGCCCTAAAACGGGAAAAACTGGAAGTTTTGAAGAGCCTTAGCAATCCTTCAGAGCGATGAGGGTGACGAATTTTCCAAAGCATTGATTATAAACTTTCGCTTGTTTTGTTTGGGGAAATATTTTTGGAAAAAGGCCAGAACAATTATAAGGGTTTTGTCAAAAATTCGATGCAGCAAAAGGTTTTTGAAAAAATTTTACAAAGCGGTTAAGGAGGCGAATGTTGCAATAAAATTTAATTTATAATTTTTCACAGAAAACGCCTGAAGGTTATTAGTATTTTTAAGTAAAACTTTAGAAAATAATGCGTTTTTGCGTCGAAATATTTGCGTAAGAAGGACTTTGTTAAAACTGGAAGGACTTTAAATTTTAATGAAACTAAAAATCTTCAGATCGATGAGGTTGGCGAATTTTCCAAATAATTTTTTGCAAACTTGCACTCTGGTCGTTTTTTGAAGCTAATCCGAACTAGTTTCGGTAAAAAACTTATTATTCGCTTTTTGTGCCAAAGTAGAAGCTGAAGAACGTTTTCTAAAACCACTACGATGCGATGCGAGGCGAATATTCTAACAAAATTAATTCTGCAATTTTTTACTGAAAAGACCCCTTGATTGTCAGAAAATCATCAGAAAATAACGGGTTTTTTACGCGTTTGAATAAAAACTTTTAGTTTTGTGTTCGGATTTTGATAAAACTTTAAACGATTTTCGGAAAAAAACAGAACAAATGTATTTTCGTTTTTGTCCCGAATTCGAAGCTGAAAAAAGTTAACGAAAATTTCTAGCTATAAATTTATATGCTAATTTTTCACGTGACAGACTCCAGATTGCCAGCATTTTTATGCGAAACTCTACAAAAAAGAGCGTTTTTGAGTGGAAATAATAGCAAACAAAAATTCTGTCTATTGGAAATACCACGTAAATGTTATCATTCCTCTTTGTCAGCAAAAAGGAGAAAAGCCATAATTCATGTTTATATTCAGAGAATTCGACTCGTAATTTTGAGTCGCTGATCTAAGCATAAATGGTTAAGCTCAACCGAATTATATCGATTAATTTCAGTCTAATAAGAGAGCCTTAAAGAACTCGTTGTATCAACAACATAATAAAATACGTTCTGCTTGTGTTGAAATAAATACATAGTTATTTTATTTCAATGCCCTTTTCCCTATTAATAATCTAATACTGTCAATTCTAAAAAAACACAGCTTTTTTTAGCAAACTCTGTAGTCTTCAGAGGCATAGAGGGTGAGGAGTTTTCCAAAAATAATGTATTATAAACTTTCGCTTATTCTGTTCTTTGTTTGATAAACAATTATGCGATKTTTGTCCCAAATTCGAAGCTGGAAAGGGRTTTCAAAACTTTTTACAAAGCGACGAAGGAGGCGGATGTTGTAATAAAATTTATTTTATAATTTTTCGCGGGAATTACCCTAAGTGAAACTTTGGAAAATTGAGCGTTTAGAAGAAGGGGTAACTTTCCTAAAACCGAAAAATTCTGAAATTTTGAAGAAACTGAAAAGATTATTAACAAATAGCCCTTAAAATAAATCTCAAAACAACTAAAAATAAGGTCATCAACATTTTTCCAGCAACGGAACCGTTACTGCGCCGGTGCGTTGCGTTAGCGCACCAAGTCATTTGCGCTGCACTGCGTCAACTCCTAAAATTTCACTTGAGTTACCCAGGCCTAGTATAGACATATCTAGCAAAGTGATTACATTTTAATGTGCTGTTGTTGTATGATGGCAAGTTGGTAGACAGAAAATAATATATTTTTACAGATTATTCACTTTAATGAGCAAATTGGTACGGGCACTTTTAGACCTCTAAACTAGCTACTGTTTTTTTTCGACTCGGCATTTTAGCCTTAATTACGGGACTCGTAATTCACTCCTATACTTATTACTGTTATTTAGTCATATCACGTGTGGGTGTTGTATCGAGTAATTTAGTTTATTAAATTACTTAGTAGTTGCAGGCACCTGGACTGGTTTTATATTCATTTGTTTGTATGAATGACTCATTCTGTAATTAAATCTAAAATCAACAACACAATAAAGTCCTTGATTCTTTCAGTTCAAAGCCTTAAAAAAATCAATTTATTAGGAAAATTTTAATTGATTGACTTCGCAGAATGCTAAATGGTTTAACATTCAATACTATTCTCAATAAGATTCAAGCGCGAATAAAATCGATAGAAAGCATTGATACGCGAAAAATTTAATGATACTGCTTTGTTTAATATCTATATACATAATGTGTGATAGTTTGCATTTTTTTAATAGTTGCTTTTGCTTCTTACTCACTAACTGGCATTAACTCATAATAATGTGTGATAATCCCCATACTGCTTGTTGTTGAATTTGATATGGAGATAATTACATTTTTTTCAACCTGAAACAGTCTAGTCGAACGACTCGAATGTATTAAAAAAACATAGTCGATTAATTAATCAAAAGAACATTAGAATCGATACAGACAGAAGCATTTTCAAATTTCCGCTATTAATCCATCGTTAAATATTCATTGTGGGAATTTACTCACCGCTTTCAAAAGCACATCATGGGTTGAGATTAGCTCGGTTATTGCTAGTAAAGTTTTAACAATGAACCGCGACTATACATAATGTAAATAACTTTTACTTACGAGTTCCATTATTAGAACCACTTGATTCGTGTGTGTGTGCCTGAACCTAAATTTCTGCAGTTGAGCGCAATTTGCCTTGGTACACTTTGAAAAACAGCTACAAAGGTGTTAAGTGCATAACCGAAAAAGTAGGCATAGTAAGATTAGACATATTTAACGCAAAATAAAATCTTATAAACAAACTAATTAAAACACTATAGAAGATAACTTTTATTCGTGAATACTTTGCATGTTATGACGTGTTGTTTCTGTTTTCTGTGTGCTTTGGCTTATCTTTTTGTTGCATTGTTGCATGGTTTTGGCTCGGAAATAGTTTTATCTTCAATAATTCGATTAATTTATATTTCATATTAAGCAGATTTTGCAATTTTTAATTAAATATTCTGGTTGAGGGCAGAAAGACCGATTATGTCGATAGCCTTTTTCTATAGGAAATAAAGATTATTTATATATATATATATATATATATTCTGGTTGAATGTATTTTTTTCATTTCAGGTACAACTGCATAATGTAACCCCCCACTCCCATCAACACATCCATTATGAAGGAAAAAAAACGATTTATTTGGCAAATTGGCCTGATTCTTCTCGTCTTTTGCTCAGGACTAATTTTCTGGAATGTGTTCATCATTATTTCCCCATCCGACCCTTTACCTGTTCGGGTCGCTTATTTAACTCATTCTGAGCCGCATAATTTTTCGTACCCTGTACATTTGCTCTCTGAGAATGATTACAGTTTGTTGGCAAATTACTCTTTTGCATTTAGTATTCTAAATTTGCGTTGTAGTAAAAGCACTTTTCTGTTGGCGCTCGTTCATTCTGCGCCTAAAAATTTCCATAAAAGGATGGTGATTAGGAGCACGTGGGGCAACAAGACTGAAAACGTTGAGGTGTTTTACGTCATGGGATCATCCAGTAATGTGGATACTCAGAGGAAGATCGACGCAGAAAGCCGAAAGTATTCGGACGTGATCCAGGGCAACTTCCTGGATGTTTATAGGAATCTCACTCTTAAGCACATAATGTCGTTGAAATACGTCACGTATCATTGTCCTCAGGCTAAATACATTCTTAAAACTGACGATGATGTTTTCGTCAACATGCCTCTGATGAAGAACTTTCTCAGCAATGATCTGTCTCCATTTGGCGCCAGCCAACTGTTATTATGCTCAGTGCAGAAGTCGGCCAGTGTGCTCAGAACATACAGATCGAAATGGAGGGTAGCGTTCGAGGAATATCCATTTAGAAAATACCCCCCGTACTGTCCGGGATGGGCGATTTTATACAGCCCCGACGTAGTCTTCAGGCTGTACAAATCTGCTCAAAACACTTCCGAGATATTCTGGATCGATGATGTCCACATTACGGGAATTCTGGCTGCTAAAAACAACATTGTTCAAACGGACAACACGGATATGATTATTTCGGAAAGCGCCCAACATCAATTGGTTAACAACGATGTTTTCCCTAAGGAAAAATTCCTATTTGGTCAACCCGATCTGAAGGAGAGAGAAATCAGAACTATGTGGGCCGAAGTCGTTGCACACACCGTGACTAAATCAATTTTTAAATGATATTAACGCTTTAAATATTTTTGTGCTCAGATTACATTTTGCTCGAAAAGCGAAATGTATGTACCTGCAATCAAAAACATTTTATAGCTCCTTTAACTTTCAGGTAGTAACTTGCTACCAGTGCAGTAATCCTAAGCCAAATAACGTTAGTCATAGACAAAGACGGTTAAATTACTAATACGGTAGTTAGATGAAAGCCAAATGATTCAACAAGCTCGAAATTGGAATATGTAAATTAGGCCTGGGTAACTCAGTGAATTTTTAAGAGCTGGAGCAGTGCAGCGCAAATCGCTTGTTGCGCCAACTCAGCGCACCGGCGCAGTAACCCAATTCCGTTGCTGGGAAAATGTTGATTACTTTTTTTTTTGGTGTTTTAATATTTATTTGAACGTCAGTGTTAAAATACTGACAATCTTAAGGCATTTTCTGCAAAAAATTATCAAATAAATTTTATTAGAACACTCGCCTCCTTCGTCGCTTTGGAAAAAGTTTTGTAATCCGTTTCCAGCTTCGAATTGGGGACAAAAATCGCATGATCGTTTATCAAACAAAGAACAGAATAAGCGAAAGTTTAGAATACATTATTTGGAAAACTCGTCACCCCCTACCTCTGAAGACTATGAGTTTGTTAAAAAACTGTGTTTTTAGATTTGACTAAATTTTTTTCCGCTCAAAAACGCTCTATTTTGTAGAGCTTCGCTTAAAAATGCGGGCAATCTGGAGGTCTGTTACGCGAAAAATTAGCATATAAATTTATAGCTTTGTGGAAATTTTACATTAACTTTTTTCAGCTTCGAATTCGGGACAAAAACGAAAATTAATTTGCTGCGTTTTTTTCCAAAAATCATTAGTTTTCTCAAAAACTGAACATAAAACTAAAAGTTTTTAATCGAAAGTGTAAAAAACCCGCTATTTTCTGATGATTTTCTGACAATCATGTGGTCTGTTCAGCAAAAAAATTACAGAATTAAGTTTGTTAATATTCGCTTCGTATTTATCGCTTCGTAGAGATTTTAGAAAACTCTTTTCAGCTTCTACTTTGTCACAAAAAGCAAATAATTAGTTTTTTACCGAAAGTAGTTCGGATTGTCTTCAAAAAACGACCAGAGTGCAAGTTTACAAAACATTATTTGGAAAATTCCGCACCCTCATCGTACGAAAGATTTTTAAAGTATCATTAAAATTTTAGGTCCTTCCATTTTTAACAAAGTTGTTTTTACCCAATTCTTTTGACGCAAAAAACGCATTATTTTCTAAAGTTTTACTTAAAAACACTGATAATCTCCATGCGTGTTCTGTGCAAAATTATAAATGAAATTTTCTCGCCTTAATCGCTTTGTAAACATTTTTCGAAAACCGTTTGCTGCTTCGAATTTTTGACAAAACCCTAATAATTTTTTTAGGGTTTTTTCCCAAAAATATTCCCCCAAACAGAACAAGCGAAAGTTTATAATCAATTATTTGGAAAACTCGCCACCCTCATCACTCTGAAGAATTTTTAATGTTCTTTAAAACTTCCAGTTTTCCCCGTTTTAGGGCACAAACCAACATACGATATTTTCAAACAAACGTTGTTTTCTTTATAGTTGTTTGGACAATGTGGTTAAACGTTACTCATAAAAAATGTTGTTGACCCGTTTTTTAGATGTTAAAATTCCAGTTTCCGGTCTCGTAAAGCTTAAATCTGCTTTAATAAATGACTTAACTCAGTAACCGATGATTTATAACTCATTAACTCAGGCGGCAACAACTCAAAAGCGCAACTCAACACAGTGTTACCCAGACCTAGTGTAAATAGTAGATAATTTACCATATGAGGTTTCTGACCACAAATCAAACACTTATCTGTAAAATCCAAGACTGTGCTATGACGACTAGACGTTTTCCACTATTACATACATATTAGCTTTATTAACAAATTTCATTAGATCTGTTTTTTTAAACGGCTGTGCTTGGTTAGTAGACTGTTGAATAATAATTAATAACCAGGAAGTACCTGAAAAAAAGCAGTATTTTGTAAATAACGACTTACCTTATAAATAACCACGTAGGGATTGCACCGAATATGTTTTCTTATCGCCACGTTTTGCCGAACTTCTTATAATAGCAACTTCAAGTCATAATTACATTTTCAGTTTAATCCAACATTTGCCCTTTCTCCAAAAATTCTTGACACTGAACTGATAAAATCAATAGATGTTGCAAGGTTGATTAGCTAGAAAGAAGGCAGGACAACAGCAAATTTTCGAATACTGAATATTTGGTACAAATCGTATAAATAATCTCTAATAAAATTGATAGGAAAAATAGCAATAACAATAAATGCTAAGAATATTAAATGAGGAAGCATATGATTGACGAAAATCTAAAATGACACTCTCTAAGCTTTAGCCTCAATCAGATCTGCAAAAATGTACAAATTTAAATCTATTAAATTTATATGAATATAAAATAATTAAGAGAATATTTATAATACAAAATAAAGTATTTGTCCATTTAGTCTAGTTAGGAATTCCCTAGTATTTTTAGCTTTTGTATAAAATTTATTGTATGTGGCAAATATCTAATGATTGCTCTCTATATTGTTAACA